AAGGGGGGGACTGTGTTAAGGGGGGGGCATGTAAGATGCGCCCCCCCCCCCCCGCATACCTCCCTCCACTTCCACCCAGGCTGGGAGGTAAACTCTGCAGATGAACTTCTGAACTCTGGGGGCTGCACTGACCAAGATCAGAAACTGTGGGTGGGGTGACTTTTGGGTTGCTGGACTTAAGACCCTGAGGAGAAAAGGACACTGCCAAACTTACTTGGGAGGGAGTCTTTTGCTCATGGTTGTTGTTATGAATCCTGTTTGTGGTGTTTCCCCAACATAATGCCACATTGTTTCCCTCCTTTATTGAAAAGCTTTTGCTACACTCAGACTCTGTGCTTGCGAGAAGGGAAGTATTGCCTCTTAGAGGCGCCCAGGAGGGTGGTATGTAATTGTCCCAGGTCACGGGGTGGGGGCTCAAGCCGGTTTTGCATTGCGTTATTGAAACGGAACCTCTAGATACTGAACCCGGCCCTTGTTGCTGCCAACTCTGATGGGCAGAAGGGTTACACAAGAATTGCTAAAGAAGAGGCAATGAATTGTGCTGAAAGGATAGCTGTCAATCTGGAGGGAGGGTACTAGTGGAGTTCCTCAAGGTTTGGTCTTTGGACCATTATAATTTTAATATTTTCATTAATGAGTAAAGATCAGATTGCTGTCTAGAAATAGATCAGGGGGGTAAAAAGCCAGCAGGGGAAGAGCTATTGAAGTCAAAGGGCAATATTGGCACAAGCATAAACTGATCAAGAATAAGTTTAGGCTAGAAATTAGAAGTGGGGTTCTAACCATCAGAGGAGTGACGTTCTGGAACAGCTTTCCAATAGGCGTACAGGAGGACAAACAACCTAGCTAGTTTTAAGCTGGAGCGTGATATGTTTATAAACAGGAGTGTAGGATGGAGTTGTCACAGCAGGGGAGTGGACTCAACAAGACACAATTAAAGAATGTACCACCTTCTGGGTCATTAAGTTCCCCGTTTCAAAGAATTAACCAAACCTCATCAAGTTAAGTCCTCCTCTTTTCCTAACATGTGTCTGAGTCTGCCATAACTCCCAATACTGGCAGAGTGGAATGTTTTAGAAATGGTACCAAACATCCTAAGTTAGAGGATATTATAAAAAACATGAATGTGGCCTGGTTACAGGTTCCAAAAGTCCTAAACTCCATTCCTATTTATAAAACAGTCTTAGGGCCCAACTCCATTGAGTGGTGACCTCAGGAGGAATTGCAAAGGAGTGCGGCATCTTACCAGAGGCACTTAGCACTCTGCGGAGTTGACTTTGGAGTGCCTTGTTTCCACTATGTTCTTATCTTTGCAGAGCTCAGTGCCCAAGGTAAAAAACCATGGGGTAACTAATATACGTGAGCTCTCTCACTAACAGCACAGAGAGATAAGGCACTGTGGTTTTACTGTGAGATAGCGAGGTGAGGTGAACCATGGGTGAGGTGGGGTTAGAGCTAACCTTGTCCAGTTACCTCATGGTAAACACTACAAATGCCTTGTCTTCACTGAGGTTTTACAGTGAGATGGCTATTGCTTGACACAGACCTTTTTGCCAGAGAATAAAAGTCAGAGTCTTTGGACTAATTGGTCCACAGTGTGGCACATGGCAATGTACAGTAAGTTGCAGCAGTTCACTACTGGACCTACCATAAAAACTCAAGCAGGACCCATGATAGAATGCCACATGCAGATTTGTTACTTAAAAGGCACCAAGCAAATGATTTGCAAAAATCAGAGATAACAAAAGTGGCGTCTGTGGAAACCCTGGACGAATCATAACTAAACCAAAGCACCCCGTACAGTAAGAGAGAGAGAGAACAAATCTCTTTGCCTCAGACCTTATTCTTGTTACACATCTATGCCTCGGTGTGGCACAACAGTAACATCTCAATGCAAGGGGGGAAGAATGTGCTTCCACTTCGCACATCCAAATCTCAACTCACTCCTGCAGAGAGGCAAGGGGAAGGAAGGTTCAGCGACCCCTGTGAGCTACCACATCTCACCCCTCCCATGGGTAACATGAAGGTCCAGGGCCATGCACAGTGGGTAAGAAATGTTAAAGAGTAACATCTGATCAAAAACATTCAACCAGTTGAAAGCACCAATTAAGGAAGAGAACAGATCAGCTATATGAAGGATTAAATGCCCATTAAGAGGGTCCAGGTTAAAAAAAAATAAGTTGGTTGAAATGGCCACAGAAAGAACCCCTCTCATTTCTCCAGAGTTTGTAACCCCACCCCACACATGGGAATTCTGGTGGAGCAGGGACCAGGAATTTAGTTTGAATCTTTATGTAATTGTTGAAGATGAGGCAACATTTGGATGGCCACAGGCAGAGCATGGCACAGTATGCAAAGAAATTATACTCAGTAAGTTTCCTGTGTCATTTCAAGCACTAGCACTAGAATATCAAACCTGACATGTTTTGAGGAGTTCAGAGGTGCTCACCTATTTTTGCTGGTGCTCCAGGTTCTCCTTTGATTCCTAAAATAAAAACACAAGGTCAAATCCTTGCACTACTTGGAGCCCACACCTGGATGGGCTTGGGGCTGCAATTACACTGTGGTGTAAGAACATGGAGAGTTTTAGCAGAGAAGCTTTAACCCCCTTGGGTGGATCGCAACTGAGACTCTTGTGGATCACTCTGAAAAAACAACTTGATCTATCTGATAGAAGCTGCTTCGTTTGTCAAATGAGTCATATTTGTTAGATAGATGTTAGTGTCTATGTTAGTGTGTGTTGTAAGTGGCCAATAAAAAGAGAGCACCACGTAGGATATTCGTTAACATATTGAGAGGCTTTGCTCCAAAGCAAGACGTTTGCTCAAACACACAAACGGGCAGAATAAACTCCGAAGCACATGGGCAGATCTTCAGGGCTATTTCACTGGATTCATGCACAGGTTTTTAAACACAATGGTCCTTGTTCACACTAACAGCAAAATTTTTAACATCACATTTGCTGACATGATAATACATGCTTTCCTAGCGTAGAAATTGACAGACAAGGTTTAAAGGCATCTTTTTAGTAGAGTTGCTAACTTTCTAATCCCACAAAACTGAACACTCTAGCCCTGCCCCTTCCCCAAGGCCCTGCCCCCCCTGCTCACTACATTCTCCCTCCCTCGGTGGCTTGCTCTCCCCCATCCTCACTCACTTTCACTGGGCTGGGGCAGGGGGTTGGAGTGCAAGAGGGGATGAGGGCTCTAACTGGGGCCAGAAATGC